GCGGGAAAAGCAAAGAGCTCAGCGCAGCCTGCGCTGCCAGGAGGGGGAGGGAGGAGGCGGAGGAGGAGGAGGAGGAAGAAGGGAGGTGGAAGGACGAGCATTGACAAAACAAAGAAGGGATCTGGGGCTCAGGTTGTGGTTTTTCATACAAGCTTGCAGTTTTCTCGCCACGGCGGATCTCAGGGTAGAATCAAGCCAGCACTGGGACATCGTCGGACTGGGATAAGTCGGGGATCTCCGAAGTCGTCTGGCGTATGCATCGAGCGCCGCGGCCGTTCCAGAGCGCTCCGGAACGCTCTGGGAAAGCTCGGGAACGCTCCGGAACGCCGGGCCAGTCGAGACAAGCAGGGGTTAGGTCGGGCGTGTCCCCTTAATTACAAGCGGATGCTGCTGCCGACAACTTGAAAATACTCCAGAAATGCCCCCGAAATGGTCAGAAATGGAAAACGAAATCGTCCCCGGACGATTTCTTTACTACTACTCTTGTGGAGCGCTCCTCTCGGGTCGGGCGAAAGGGGGGGATAGCAAAGGGGTGGTTTGAGAATCAGCTCACGTAGCTGATTTTCCCGGCGCCGGAGGCGGCCATGTATCGAGGAATGGGCCCCTTGGTGAGGCCGACACCAGCTGCATGCAGCAGATTTCGTACCCCCCCCTTTCCCAGTCCCCCCCTTTCGCCCGACCCGATCCTCCTGTAGAGGCACAGGCCCGGCCTAAAGCGAGGGCGGCCCTCTCCCTGGCGTGCTCTCCGCCTCCTTGGGGGTCTACCGGGAGCTCACCGTGGCCACGGCGGGGCCCGCCTCGCAGGCGAAGGGTCGGGTCAGCGGGCCCCGGGATAGGGGCCCGAGGACAAGCTTCGAGCGGTGTGGAACCCTGGCCTGCCAGAGTGTTAGAAGATAGCCCTCCAGACCTATGTGCCGCTGAAAAACCTCGACCGTTTTTTTTTTTTTTTTTTTTTTTTTTTCCCCCCCCAACCATCCTGTGGTGTTGGGTCCTCGTTTTGAAGAGACGGTGCCCCGCGTTCTCCTTCCTTCCTTCCTCCCGCTGCCTCCTCCCCCCTCCCATCATCATCATCATCATCAACACCCATGTCGGCACACCCCTCACACGTCTCGTGGCTCCATAGGGAGCTCCACCGAAGGCCCCAGTGCCCGCGGCCGCATGCGTCCCCCACACCCATTTCGGCACACCCCTCACACGTTTCGTGGCTCCATAGGGAGCTCCACCGAAGGCCCCAGTGCCCGCGGCCGCATGCGTCCCCCACACCCATTTCGGCACACCCCTCACACGTTTCGTGGCTCCATAGGGAGCTCCACCGAAGGCCCCAGTGCCCGCGCATGCCGTCATGCGTCGTGGCGGGAGCTCCACCGAAGGCCCCAGTGCCCGCGGCCGCATGCGTCCCCCACACCCATTTCGGCACACCCCTCACACGTTTCGTGGCTCCATAGGGAGCTCCACCGAAGGCCCCAGTGCCCGCGGCCGCATGCGTCCCCCACACCCATTTCGGCACACCCCTCACACGTTTCGTGGCTCCATAGGGAGCTCCACCGAAGGCCCCAGTGCCCGCGGCCGCATGCGTCCCCCACACCCATTTCGGCACACCCCTCACACGTTTCGTGGCTCCATAGGGAGCTCCACCGAAGGCCCCAGTGCCCGCGGCCGCATGCGTCCCCCACACCCATTTCGGCACACCCCTCACACGTTTCGTGGCTCCATAGGGAGCTCCACCGAAGGCCCCAGTGCCCGCGGCCGCATGCGTCCCCCACACCCATTTCGGCACACCCCTCACACGTTTCGTGGCTCCATAGGGAGCTCCACCGAAGGCCCCAGTGCCCGCGGCCGCATGCGTCCCCCACACCCATTTCGGCACACCCCTCACACGTTTCGTGGCTCCATAGGGAGCTCCACCGAAGGCCCCAGTGCCCGCGGCCGCATGCGTCACCCCCACCCATTTCGGCACACCCCCCGCATTTCTCGCACGGCAGGGTCATCACCACGGTGGCGTGCCAGGGGCGCACCATGCGCGAAGGCGACGGGGCGGGGGAACGGCGCTCCGGGGGCGGCCAGACCTCCGGGGCGCGAGCAGTCCGCGGCCAGACCATCTCTCGGTCCTGTGGACTCTCGCCCTGGGCCGTCGGCTGCCCGGCGCGCTGCTCCCTCGGTCGACGTCGCCCAGGCGTGATCCTGGATTGCGGCCGCCACGAGGTAGGGAACGGCAAGAAGGAGGACGACGACTGGTGGCTGGAGCTCTACGTGCTGCTCTCGCGCGCCACGCGCCACGAGGACCTCCTGCTCATGCGGGCGCCGCGCATCGAGTTCTTCCTGGCAGGGCCGCCGCAGGGCTTGCGGAAGCAGCTGGAGCAGTTTGCGGCGCGCACGAAGCGGTGCAGGAGGGAAGCGACGGCCCTCGCCAGGGAGCTCGGCTTCACCGAGTTCATCCGCGAGGCCTGACCTGAGGAGCGTCTCCCCCGAGCCGCGCCTTCTCTCGACTGCCCGACTAATTGTTTGGCCTCGCGCCGCGGACGACCCGCGCGCGTCGCTGGGACCCTCTCGGGGCGACCAGCGCGCGTCGCGGGAACTCCGTGCTGCGGGGGGCCCGGCGCCTCGTTCGCCCGTCGTCGCTCTGCCCAGCGGTCAGAGACTTGCCCGCTATCAGCCAGCCAGTTAGCTAGTCAGCTCTCTCTGCTTCGCGCAGCGGACGACCCGCGCGCGTCGCTGGGACCCCGCCCGGGGCGACCAGCGCGCGTCGCGGGGACTCCGCGCTGCGCTGCGCCCGCAGCCTTGGATTTTGGAGTGCGCGGGCAAAGAGGAAGGAAAAGAAGAGCCGAAAGCGGGCGCGATCCTCGCAAGAGGCGTGCCGACATGGGCGTCGCGACGTGCGGACGCTGCCGTCGGGGTTCCCGCGGAAGCTGCCTGCGGCGGCCACGCCCAGTGTCACGTGTGTTCGGACAGGCATGCTCGACACTTACACTAGGCGGTTCCATGATCGCATTCATGCAAATATATTCACTCGCGCGCAGACCCATTCATACTCAGATTCCCTCGCGCTCTGACTCACCCGCGTTCTTTCTCTCGTAATCAGATCTATCGTATTCCTTTGCGTTGTGTACCCCGCCACATTTCGGCACACCCCTCATGCGGTTCGTGGCCCCATAGGGAGCGCCACCGAAGAAGATACTCACAATTGCGATACTCACAACTGCATATGGTTGGGTCCTTCGCCAGTTTTTTTTTGTTAAAATAAAATAAAAAAAATAAAAATAAAAATAAAAAAAAACCTCGACGGGAATTGAGACGCCAAGGGCCTTCGGTGGAGCTCCCTATGGAGCCACGAGACGTGTGAGGGGTGTGCCGACATGGGTGTTGATGATGATGATGATGGGAGGGGGGAGGAGGCAGCGGGAGGAAGGAAGGAAGGAGAACGCGGGGCACCGTCTCTTCAAAACGAGGACCCAACACCACAGGATGGTTGGGGGGGGGGGGGGGAAAAAAAAAAAAAAGCCTCGACGGGAATTGAGACGCCAAGGTCCTGGTGCTATGTTTTAGCCCTCGTGGAAGGTCAGGGAACCGGGGGGGGGTCCAAGAACACATGTTGCGGCATTCCGCGGGAACGCTTAAGAGAGGGCTAGCTTGCCCGAGTAGGGGGCCACCACGCCGGATCAGGCTGGATTGAGCCTGGGATCAGGCAGGATCGACCTGCATGATAAGCGGGAGTATGCAAGGTTTGACTGGCTCTCTAAACCACTGCTACACCAGCGCCGATTCTGAATTGAGCCTCGCACGAATTGCATCAGGGCTCGAGCTGAACAGTGTCGTTTTCGTTTTGTGTTCGTTGTCCTTCGTTTTGTCTTCGTTTGTCCTTGCTGCGAAACGACACCATCACGAAAACGGTCCGAGAAAGCGTCAAGACATCGCTCAGCAGGAGCCCTGAGAAGCATCCTGAGCGGTGCGTCTTGACGAGAGGAAGCGTCGCGGACCACCGATGGCGCCGATCGCCCGGTAGCGGCCGACTCTGGGTCGGCTGTGTCTGTCCTTGCGCCAGCAGGCCTGCACGAAGCTGCCGCGCCACCCGGCGGGCACCCGTGCAGCATCCCTCGCCATCGCTCGGACGTCCATTCCCTGTGTTTGTTTCGGCATCGTGCGTGGCTTTTTTCGCCACATGATCAGGGATGCTCCTCGATGGTCCCCACCGAAGGAAAAAATGCACACGTGCGAGCGATGCCAAGATCCTGGGGCCCAGGATGACCCCGACCGGGAACTGGCGGCGAGGCGGGGGGGGGGAAGCGAGAAGGGGAGGGTGCCTTCTCAGAAGGCAGGAGGGCTT